TGTTTTCAAAAGCTTAAAACAATCGATAATCAATCCCTCTTTACATAAGCTGATAATCAACTGCATGTATGTTGTGCTATTAGGCTCTTGACCCTTTTCTATCATCAAATTAAGTAAATCTAAAGCTTTTTTAGCTTTCCCATTGAGACAATGCCCATTGATTAAACCTGTATATGTAACAGCATCTGGTAGAATTCCATTATCCATCATGGAATTTAAGATTCCCATGGCTTCTTTGAACTTTCCCTCTTTAGAAAGACAATGAATTAAAGGATTATATATGTCTAAAGAAGGAGATAATCCTTTACTCATCATATCATCAAGAACCTCTTTCCCTTTTCCAGTCTTTCCATTTTGGTAAAGACTGATTACCAATGTTCTGTAAGTAACCAAATCAGGAGCACAACCTAAATTCTCCATTTTACCCTTCAAAGCTAAGGCTTCATCATATCTACTACTCTTGCAAAGGCCAGAAACGAGGGTATTAAGTGTCACCTCATCTGGAGCTAACCCATAGCTAGAAACTTGATGAAAAAGCCCCATGGCATCATCAATTTTGTTCTTGTGACATAGACCTTTCAATACAAGATTAACAAGGTACACATTGACACTGAATCCGCTTTTTAGAATCAAACACAAAACAGAAATTGCATACTCTGGTTTCTGGAAATGCACTAAACTCTCAATTACAGCACCATATGAAAGAAAGAAAGGGACTACTCCAATGGTAGCTAGTTTTCTGTAAACTTGCAAAACTAAACCGTACTTACTGTTTCTACCCAAGCTTTCCACGATGAAATTGCATGTGGAAGAAGAAGGAATCAGGCCTAACTCAGCCGACTGTTCGAAAAGCAAAACCGCATCTGCAAATTGGGGATTAGGTTTTTGTAGAAGCTGTCTTAACTGGGAATCTAAGTTATTTGTCACAGCATGATTTGAATGAGCTATACCAATTGAACGAGATACCGATGATGATGAAGAGAAAAGCTTAGTGAAAACACTACCATGGTAGATAAATGGATGTTTGAAGAACGGTTTTATCATGCTTCGAGTCATGATTTGAATATGTGACTATTACTATTTATGTGCGTGTGCGTTGCATTAGGGTTTTAAGAGTAGGAAAAGAAAAGGCATGAAATCAAGTAGTAATGACTTCGATTTAACGACTCGATGGTGTGGATTACCTGTTGAAGGTTGTCGGAGGGAAAAACTTGCCGGAGTACTGCTAATTGCTAAATAAGCCGGACGGAAGCTTGAAGGTTTTAGTTGGGGTTGCTGTTTTGATGGCGTAGAGGAAACAGAGTTAGGGGCTAAGCTTATTTATTTTTTGGGCCATTTTTTCTGACTTTTTTTTCATTAGTTCGGCTTATTTTCTTAGTGTAAGTCATAAGAAGCTCAATAGTTGAAAATTAAGTTAGAAAAAATAAGCTTATAAAAAATAAGCTCAGAAAATAAGCCAAGCTTAGCCAAACACCCCTTTAGTTTCATATATGGTCTATCAACTATATATTAATATACACTTTTTATCCAACTACTTTTATATTTTCATTAATAGTCCTTGATACACAAAATGATAAATGTTAAAAGTTCTTAGAAACAAAAGTTATTTTTCTTTGAACAAACTGCAAAAATGGTCCATGTGGTATGTATTTTTTTTCGATTTTTTTTGGTTTTGTGGTCATTTTGAACTAATTTCATTGTAGATTTGGTCTCTCAGTAAATTGAAATGACTTTAATACCCTTAGGGTATTTATTTTCTATTTTTCTTTCATTTTTTAAATCTAATAACTATTTATTTATTTAAACAATAAAAAAATAAGATCCCCCCCCCCTCTCCCTCTCTCTCTCTCTCTACCATCTTCCCCATCCTTTCTCGTTTTTTCCCCTAAATTCCAATCTGGAACATGATACCAACTTAAACTCCTTCACTTCACCACCCTTTTCACATAATCACAAACCAAAACATCCTAAAACCAGAACCATCAAATGAGTTTCTGAATTTCGTGAGCTGAAGAAGAAAATCGTGGATATGGCTCTGGACGTACCGACCCATTTTGTCGTCCCCAAGGGATGTACAGGCTGCAAATTTAAAGACATGACGGAAATAATATGATTAGGATAGAATTATACCTTAATGATGCGTCGGAATGGATTGACGATGGATTGTTTGGGTATGATTATATGAAAATATGTTTGGATAGGGTTCTGCTATTCAGAAATAGACGAACTATTTCAACAGAAGAAGATTGAGATCAACTCAAGTCTTAAACACTCAAATTTAGCTTATTCATTCCATATGGGCAAATGCCCTATTTATAGGCTCAAAGGAGCCGAGTACAATAATAGAATTGCAATCGGTTGATTGCAATATGACAAACTTATTTACATTAATGCCCCCTAGAGTATTGAAGGTCTTACATACTTTATTTTACTATACTACCGACACTTTGCATACAATAATTATAAAAGACAAATCATAAATAATTACAAATCCTTTCTATATTGAAAGGCCACATGTCTTCAATAATGTATCCTTTTTAATAATGGCTTCTTATGTCATTGCTTATGTCATTCGACCCATTTTGTCGTCCCCAAGGGATGTACAGGCTACAACAACTAAAGCAACTGCCATGGACGCATTTGAATTTCCACCAAAAAGGTCTAATTTTGCATTACTGATAGAACCCGACCCCCGAAAAGGTTCGTTTTTTATTTGGCTAGTAATCCTTTTTGCATCTAGGTTTATCTATGTTTTGTAGTTGTTGGTCACACCATGATCTTCATCTACGTTTTCTCATAAAGTATAGTTGTACAAGGTATCTAGTTCTATTTTAAACCATTGAAGATGATTGTGGTGATGAATGCAGTGGTTTGTTGGTGTAGACAGATGTGTATGTGTGTATGTTTTGAAGGACTTGGTGGTTTTTGAGGAGAAGATCATCTGATTTCATTATTTAGGTTTCAGAGGGGATATATATAGATTGAGGGAAAAATGGAGAGGATCGATAGGGTTGTGGTTTTTTAAACCTAAGGACAACGAAGGGTTCATCGGACTTGGGAAGCATGTCGATGAACGACAGTCGCATCTTCAAAGGTTCACCAGAAAAAGCTTGACACGAGATCTGGGTTTCGTTGGAAAAAGCTTGACACGAGATTTGTGTGTTCTTGTTCTGATGATGAATTCCAATATCTAATTTGATGTTCTTGAGACATTTGTTGATGATTTTTTTAGGGAAAAAACCAATAAAGAGTTATGGTAAAGGAAAAGTAATGAAGAAGAAGAAATAGGCACGAGAGAGAGAGAGAGGTGGACCCTCTTATTTTTTATTGTTTAAATAAATAAATAATTATTAGATTTTAAAAAAATGAAAGAAAAATAGAAAATAAATATCCCAAGGGTATTAAAGTCATTTCACTTTACTCAGGGACCAAATCCGCAACAAAACTAGCTCAAAAGGACCACGAATCCAAAAAATCGAGGTTTTGACTAAACATCAGAAAAAATGCATACCATGGGTACCATTTTTGCAGTTTTTGTCGTTTTCTAATAGTAAAACTTATGTATTACGTAGTTTTATTGTTATGGTTTGTCATCTCCTAAACCAACATTCAAATTGTAGCTGAAAAAACTTTTTTACATAAAATGTTACAATTTGTAGATTTAAGAAAAAATTGTACAATGGCCATGTTTTTAGTTGAAAATTATCATTTTGGTCCAAAAAATTTTAGAACAACACAATTGATACAAAAGAAGTTTTTTAATGTGGTTTTGGTCCTAAGAAATGGTGGAAAATATTGATTTGCCATTATTATTTTCTTTTTCTTTTTTATTTTATTTATTTTAGTACTTTTTAGATTAGAAAAAAAAAATCTAACCCCACCCAACACACACCCCCTCTTTAAATCACACCGACTCCATCTATCTCTCTCTTCAGTATCCCGTCGGAAACCACATCTAGTGCCTTCATTCCCACCGGAACCCACCATCACCTACCAAAACGAATGAAGTCGTCACCCTTTGTCGTACTACCACCATCTTCACTCCATATGTTCTTCGTCGGAGGCATCAAAACCCTAGCGTCTTCGTCATCAGTAACCCTAATGTCACCTTCACTGACGCTTTCAAAACTTGTTTAAACAACCTTCTGAGATATAAATATAGGTGTTGTTGTCGACCTGCAAACCCTAGCTCTGGTATGCAAATCCTAACACCTTGTTGTTTAAATCTAAAACCTCCATGATAAGTGGCGAAGGCACCGACTGTGGTGTGAAAACCCTACATCATTTGGTAGAAGGGTGACAAAACCAACTCCAACGTCTGCAACTCGAAGGGTAAACGACGAAGATGATCTTTGACAAAAAAATCCATAGCAAAAGGGTGTTTTCGGCAGCGACTAGTCAAGGTTTCTAGCAAACAACGGTGAGAGATAGAGAGATGGAGAAGAGGATGGATGTTCGCATTTTCAAGTGTAAGGGGGAGAGATAGGAGTTTCGTTCTGGTGAGGAGAAAATGTTCTGGCGAGGAAATGGTGGTCTGGCAGGCGGTGGAGAGAGAGAGAGAGAGAGAGAGAGAGAGAGAGAGAGAGAGAGAGAGTTTAAATGTGAGGGTGGATTAGTAGGTTAGTAGGAGGTAGGGTAAATGCTTCTACTTTGCTTTTTTAAAATGGGAAATCTGCGAAAAAGTCCCAAAGTTTTGCCCCAGTTTATGATTTAGTCCTAAATTAAATTTCACTTATGAAAAATGACAAATTATTGGCTATTACACTCAGTTTAGCCCTACGAACCGGTAACCCTTGTATTAGCCGGTTACCCCAACTGACTGTCCTTATCACCCTCCATTAACCTCCCCTTCATCCACTCCTCCTCTGTAAAACCCCTTTCTTACCCTCCATCGAAGCAAAACTTTACCTGAGAAGAATCAAAGGTAAGAAAATCCACGTGGTCCTCCAATATCTTGTTTCCCTTATAATATTTGATTAATTTTTGTTTTTGTAGTGATAATGGAGACAGTAGATGACTTGGATACCATTGACGTGGAATTAGATGAGTTTTTCAAACACAAACAAAGAAGTCGATGCAAAGATGAGTTCCTAAACACTCTCACAGACGAAGCGCTTGACGAATGCACCATACCTGAGATAAACCTAAATGATTTTGAAGGAATTTCGGAAGATGAAGCACCACAGGAGAAGCAGAGTGATAGTGAGGGTGACGATGAAGACAAATTGCAGTTTCAATACTCAACCCATGACCCGAAGGTGAAATGGAACAATATGGAGCCAGTTCTTGGGGAGAGGTATGAATCACCACACCAACTAAAGCTTTGTTTGACAAATTACTCTATAAGTAGGGGTTATCCAATTAGGTTCAAGAAATGTGATAGTATAAGGCGCGTGGCTGTATGTGCAAGTGACCCTGAGAAATTTCAATGTCCCTTTGTTGTAAGGGCCTCATGGATGAGCACTGAAAGATCATTCCAAATCAAAAAATGGGTTGAGCAACATACCTGTGTTAGGAATTTCCGTAGTTCTAATATTATGGATCCCACATGGATAGCTAGGCAGTTACTAAAGGAGATGATTAGGAAACCAAATCCGAAATGTAAGGAAATGCAAGCTATTATTCAAAGCAGGTTCCATTGCAAGGTTTCATGGTCAAAATGTTATAGATCAAAATGTGGGGCAATTTCTTTAATATATGGAAAGTTGAGTGATCACTATGCAAAAGTATGGGATTATGGACATGAGTTGATGAGGTCCAATCCAGGGAGTACAATTCAAATATATGTCACTGTAAACCCTAATAACACTACTATTTTCCATAAAATGTATACATGTTTTAAGGCTATCAAAGAAGGATGGAAAGTTGGTTGTCGAAGAGTTATAGGGCTTGATGGGAGTTTTTTGAAGGGACAATGTAAAGGTGAGCTGCTAACTGCCATAAGGAGGGATGCAAATAACCATGTGTATCCTATTTCTTGAGCAGTAGTTGAAATTGAGAACAAGCCCAATTGGCAGTGGTTCTTGGAACTATTACATGATGACCTGGAATTACAAGGAGGCTTGGATTTGTGTGTTATTTCTGATCAACACAAGCTAATGTTTTTGATTATCTCTTTTTTTTTCATTTCATTTATACATGTATCAAGCAGTTACTAATGAAAATTTTAATGTAATTGATAGGGTCTTTTGGAAGCTGTAAAAGTTGTATTGCCACATATGGAGCACAGACAATGTGCAAGACATGTGTATGCAAAATCCAGAAAGGTCTTCAGTGGTATAGAGTTCAAGAATATGTTTTGGACAGTTGCCAAGTCAACTATTGAGGGAGACTTCAAATTGAATATGGAGAAGATCAGAGAAGTCAATCTTGGTGCTTATGATCATTTGATGGAAAGGGAGCCTAAATCTTGGTGCAGGGCATTTTTTAAAGGTGGAATGGCATGCGAGGCTGTTGAAAATGGAATGGCAGAGTGTTTTAATGTCATCATACTTGATGCCAGAAAGAAGCCTTTGTTGGCCATGCTTGAGGAGATTAGACTATATATGATGGAAAGGTTGTTTAACTTGAAGCAAGAAGCACGTAAATGGGTGAATGATGTGTATCCAGGAGCTATTAAGAAAATGTATGAGTTTGCTTTTGATATCAAGTAAGTATTATAATGGGTTTGCTTTTGTTTAGTATTGATATCAATATGTATACTAATTAAAACTGTTAATGTGTTTGCAGGAGTTGGTATGTTCATCCTAGTGGTTCGAATGCTTTTGAAGTGAGAAATGGCTTCCACTCATATGGAGTGAACTTAGAGGGGATGTACTGTAGATGCAGAATTTTGGAGTTATCTGGGATCCCCTGTGTCCATGCCCAAGCAACCATAATTTACATACAACAGGATCCAGCTAGATTCATCAGCACATGGTTTGATAAGGACAAGTTTTTAGCTACGTATGAGTCTAACATCCTTCCTGTTAATGGCAGTAATATGTGGGAACCAACGCCTTACACCAAACCACTATCACCTGTTGAAACAAGGATGCCAGGAAGGCATTGTATAAAAAGGAAAAAGCATGTCTCTGAGCATGAAGACAGGTTCTCCCAAGTTTCCTCTAAGGGTAGAACTGTCCAATGTCAAAATTATATGCAAATGGGGCACAATAAAGTGTCTTGAAAGAATCCCTCAGTCAAACCAACACCAAAGCCTAAGAAGAAAATGGGAAGGCCAAGGTTGAATCCAGAACCAATTGCACAAGACTTGGGAGAGGTGGTGGAAGAGGTGGTAGAAGAGGTGGTAAAAGAGGGGGTAGAAGTAGTGGAAGAGGTTCTACCAGTGTTTATGAAGAAGGTGAAAGTTTTGGGAAAAAAAGAACCTGAGATTGAGACTCAATTTGTCACCCATACAGCACCTAATGTTGAGAGTCAATTTGTCACCTAAACATCACCTACTGTTGACAGTGAACATGTACCAGAAACACAGGAAGCAGATGTTAAGATTGATGTTGAAGGTGATGGTCTTGATATGGCTGATCTGGATCAAATACTGCATGATTTGAGTTACCTTAGAGAGTCAAAATACAGTGAAGCAGAGATCCTTTTGTGTCTTAATATCACCCAATCACAACTTAAAGGATTTGATGCTTTGCTTCACCAACCCAAACAAGCTGCAAAGGTATATATTATAACATTGAGAGTGAATTTTATTTTTCAATAACATAACTAACTTGTATTTTTTCCCATGCAAGGATGTGCCTTTTGTGAGTGAACATGTACCAGAAACACAGGAGGACAATGATGAAAACAAGGAGGAGAGTGACTATGAAGATAGAGTTGAAGAATCACAGGAGGACAATGATGAAGATGGAGTGGAGGATGATGAAGAGGGAGTTGATGATACTCAAGTTAGGGTTAAAACTCAAGTCAGTGTTAGAACAAGAAAACCTTCTGAAAGGATCATTGAAAACATGTTGAAGAAAATTGTGGTTGACAAGAAAGGAATAGGAATGGCTCCAGAAAAACCTCTTACTTTGGATTAGATTGGTTAGGATTTAAGCAGTTATATGGGTATTTGGCCAAATTTGTTAGGAAGCCCTGTTTGGTAAATTTGTTAATATGCCCTTTCTTTCTTAAACAATATACAATATGGCTGCATTGTTAACACTTTGGCAGATTTTGGTATGTTTTGTTGATATATAAGTTACATCCATTTTGGTCATTATGTTATATTGAAAAACATCCTTCATTTGCTCACATCATACACTTACAATTGTACATTGCTCAAACAGTAGGTATCCATAAAACCATTTTTCATTCAACAACATACAACTTACATCCAACTGTCATTTAAGTAATAAAGATTACATACATTGCCAAAAGTTTTACAACAACTTAAAACTACTTCAACATAATCCACACAATCACCAACAAACACAAAAAACCCAATCTTCCATTTTTCACTTTCACCTTATACAACAACCTATTGAATGCCATTTTTTTCACTTTCACCTTACTAGTTTTAATATATTGTTGGGTGTAAACCATTATCATTTTAAAGCTACAACTTTTGAACAATTTGTATAAAATACTTAAATTATAAATTTAAATATAACATTGCATGATCAACTTAAATATAAATTTTAGTTTAACTTAAACAACCCAAATAATATTTTGTAAATAGTAAAAAGTGATAAATTGTAGTGTCTTTCTAATAATGATTATAAGTTGGTTAATAAGGTTAAATAAATATCAAACCTAAAGTGTAATCATAAATAAACTAAATTTCAATATTAAAATAACATCTTTACTTCTACTTATAAAGTTATGTCTTTAACTTTTAACATATTATACTTAATTTATTATATTTAATATGTTGTTGTATGTAAACTATTATCAATTTAAAGCTACAACTTTTGAACAGTTTGAACAAAATACTTAAATTGTTAATTTAAATATAACATTAACGTGTCAACTTAAATATAAATTTCAGTTCTACTTAAAAAACACAATGAATATTTTGTGAATAGTTAAAAGTGATAAATTGTAGTGGTGAATGCAAAAACTGAATTGTAACTAAAATATTTCCTAAAGATATTTGTATAATCGTTAAAAGTTTTCAAATAAGTAGCTTAAAATAACTTACAATAACAACAGTTAAAAATAACTCTATATAAATGATTATATTGTTACCTTTAAAATCGAAAAACAATGTTTGATGTTTTAAATAATTATAATGATAGAAATTAAAACGTTAAACAAATAAATTTTAGAAAATTAATAAATAAAAAAACAACTATAAATAATATTAAACCATATATTATATGTAATTTTATTCATGAGTAACTCGCGAGTAGAAGTCATTCAAACGGTTGAGATTATGCAGTTATAATAGATGTATATATTATCATATAATTGAAAATAATCAATATATTATATAAATTTAGTATACGAATTATTATATCAAATTTAACAACAACGTTATTGTTATATTTAAGAAAAAAACATATATTTGTAAGATTTCAATTATATAGGCGTTTCTGCGCAACACGCGGACATTCGCATAGTCTTGTTATATAAACATGAAATTGTAGTATCTTTTGATACTTGAATCGATGTGAGACTCAAAGTAGATATCAAATGAAGAATGAGGATAACAAGTTTATATAATAGATGAAAATAATTGAGTTTACATGTGTCTGACGATGTGAGATAAAATAGTTGAGAAAATAAAATAATAGAATAGTTAGAAAAATAAAAGAAATATAAACAAAGGATTTGCAAGGAGCAAGAATTGATCTTGAAACATTTGTTTCAATAAGCCAACACCTTAACCAGTAGACTAACTGTTTACTTGTGCTTATAAGTGAATGGATGTGTATATATACACAACATAAAATGAAATTTTTCAAAAAAAAACTTCTAAAAAAATTACATTATCGAAATTTTTTTGACGGGTATCCCGGACTACCCCAGGATACCTCTTGGATCCGCCCTTGTTTATGTCGTTTATGATGCTAGATTTTCCGAAAAATATGTTCAAAGAGGATCGAAAAGAGAAATGGTTAAGTTTCCTTTCTTAGTTCATCTTTTTAATATCATTCCCTTATTTAACAATGTCATATATGAGCAAAAGCAAATTGACATTCGGAGTAGCAGGTGTGTGGAAAGAAGCCGGAAAGACGAAGTGTTTTACAAAACGATGGTTTGCTTTATGGATTGTAGATATATCGAACATTTAGGTTCGATTTGGTTTTTTATATATAAAAACCAAAAAAAAAACTAACAAAATCGGAATAATCATAACGATGTCTATCATTTATAAATAAGTTTAGTTGATTAAGTATGCTAAAAGTTAAAATAATTAACATGTGTTTACGGTTACCGTTGAAAATATAACTAAAAACCATGAATTTATATCATTTTGTATTTTTCATTTTTCTAAATTTACTTGTTTTTTGTTAAATTCTAAAAGGGATAATCTAAGATGAATTTGAGGTCAGTAATCACTAAGATGACATAAAAAATAACAAGAAAAGACTTAAGATTGAGACACAAATAAAAATGGATTTACAAAACTTTGACTTTGTAATGTATATTAAATAAATTTTGAAATCTGGATTTACAATACATTTAGATGTATTCCATCCATGTTGAAATATAGTGTAACAATGTAATATAGCACTAATTTGTTAAATATTATTGTCACAAAACTTCATGTTTTTATCCTTCGAGCCTTCTAAAATATCCACCAAGAAAGGAGATGGACGTGATGGACGACTGAATGAGATTCTTAAAGTTTAATATTCTTTTCGACTATAAGGTTGGTGTGTGTACCCTCACCACACACCACGCCACGACGACATGGTTGTACAGTAGTGGTTATGGTAACACTGTGTCAACCCCTACATCAATTGCACGACATTATACCGTGATAAAGAAATCCAATGTGAATCTTTTGTACAATGACCACATTTTGCTTCTCATATATATACGAGTCCATTTTGCTTTGTCTTTCTCCTCTAAGTACATATATGTAAATCCATTTTGCTTTGTGGTCAATATATGTGAACACAATCTTGATATAATTTTTAGAAAATAATTAAAATGGTTATAGAATTAATATAATTTGTAGAAAATAATTGAAATAATTATTTCCCACCAACTAAATTAATTATTAGTTTTGAATTTATTTTAATAATTAATATTTTTATATATTTATTTAAAAATATAAAAATAAGGGTTAGTCAGGGGTGAACATATCTAAGGTGAGGGGAGAGTGAGAAGGGAGCGATGTTACATTAACTGGTAGGAAAAAAATGAAAGGCATTGTAAAACCATGCCACGAGTACAAAAAAACATCCTCCAAATCAAAAGAAACAACATAGTAATTTTATTTATGTTTATTAATAGAACATTGTACTTCCATTTTCCTATTGCAACATTGTGTTGTCATTTTTTTTTATTAAGCCATTATATCTTGAAAAATATACCAAAATTTATAGCATTGTACTTCCATTTTTTTTTTCTTTTTAAGACATTGTGTTTTGAAAACTCTACTCGCTTATAGCAATGAAAATCATTTAGTGTAGAATAACATTGGTATAGCTTTGACATTTTAGTATAGTGAAATACCTAGCCAACGGACGAATATTAAACTAGTTAAAAGGTTGTGAAAATGATCTCAAAGTTCCCCACCAACCCTCTCAATAGCGGAAAAATAGAAGAAAATAAATAAACACAAAAATATATGTAAAAAACTCCACAATACGAAGAAAAAACTATGATTCTTTTGAAAGAAAAATTCACTATATGTTAGATTATTGAAATCACATATACACATATCTAAAGGTAACAAAAATTCAACTCACACTTATCTACACTCTTGGAACAAAAGAATAAAAGAAAAAAAATCAAATAGTTAAAATATATTTGATTGAGACACTTTCACACTAATGTCTTGAACCTTTTTATAATGCATACAACTCACTCATTTTTTGCCTTCCTATCAATGTGGGAAAACCATTTCTTTTAATTTAGCTAAACAATCATAACTCAACATCCTAAATATAAGAAATTACACCATCATCAAAGAGAACATCGTCTTAACCAATATAATTTTAAAGCCGTAGTATTAACATAATCCGCATAAAAGAGTACCACCGCTTATAATAAACCATCTTGAAATGTTCACCTAGTCACATGTCGAAACCTTGTTGAAAATTTTATGACACAACTTTCGTGTTTGACATACTCAGTTCATCAACCATCGACACCAATTTCACCTATATGTCTTGCATTTATAAACCAATACCTACGGGTAAATCCATGAAACCGCCAACGAAAATACATCTTTTTTATGATAGTAAGACTCTAAGAGCGTACTTTATGTTTATTGTATCTCATAAACAATCATTACCATCAATAAATGACAGAGACATTATTAGTTGAATTTGAGCCTTTTTCCAAATCTACTCCATATAGACATCTTTTTTCTTATTGTGCCTAAACCATCCATACTTCCAACATGTTATACTATCTTAAGAGTTTTTTTTTCTTTACTTTCATATACATCAAAATATACTTTCTGATGAAGGATAAATTTTAAATTTCATCATTATTCTCTTCGAAAAAAGTTCACTAGTAACATTTTCATACTTCAAGGCCTCTTTCCCATACATCAAAATAAGCTTTATATGCTCATACGAAGATGAATGAAATAATACGAGCCTTAGTGCTTTATCTCATCTTTAACGTTGACTTTGATAGACTCTAGTTTCAAAATTATCAATTAAGAATACATAAATAATCTAATGTTTTACTATATTCATGCATTACATATGAAACTATTCATTGAGATATAAGTGATTTGAGAATATTGTTTTCAAGATATGATTGTTAAAGCTTCTCCAATCTCCTTCTTCATTTATATCATTCCACATTTACAAGACATAACTGAAACACGATTGCCGTTATTAAATCCAAATTTTCTCATTTTATGTCATCGATTCTACTGGTCTCCTTTAAACAACCGTTGGAAAAA